GTCGAAGACGACGCAGCGCGCACCCCCTCGGCCCAGGAAGCAGCAGTAGCAGCTGCGTCATCGGATGCCTTGACATGTCTAGACGTCGCCAGGTAGATCGTATTCCCTCTAGCCCTCCAGAGGGCAACAGCCAACGTCCAAGTGCCTGACAATCCAGCAGATCTGATGGGCACTCTACCACAAACGTAGCAAGCACCCGGGGCACTCATGCCAAAACAACGGTATGCTATCAAGCCCTGGCGAGGGACACAACGAAGATCCCCATCACCGTAACGTTGGACTTCCGTCAGGAGGTCAGTCCGTACGGAGTTTCAGGAGGCCTTCTCTCAAAGAGCCCTGCTGTCCTAGAAATACCATCGGCGCTTGTTTCTACTAATAGCCCAAAACACACGGTTAATGCCGCAACGGATGCCCGACAACCGCACGCATCGGGCAAAAGAAAAGAAAAAACAGCGACGACGACGACAGATGATCGAGGAAACGTCCGCAACAGACCACGCTCTGTTCCTCAAAGCATGCACAAACCACCACGCTGAATCAACACTCCTCCCCGTCCCACTACCCAAAGGGGTACACCAAACGTGTACAAGTACTGCTAACGACTCCCCCTTTCCGGAGGAGGTTATGTTGTGTGAATGGTAAAAGGTGGGGCAAGAAAAAGATCCTTGTGGAAAGGCAACACGACAAAAAACAAAGAGGGACAACAAACCACCATTGCTCCCTTGTGTTACGTAACCCTTGTCGCTCTTGACACCCCCCCTACCCGCAGCAAAGCATTACTCACTCACAGCGATTCCGCGGGGCACTCCTAATAATATTTAATCTCAACCCTCTACGCCAAGACCGCTGCTACATACGTTTTTCGCCTTAACCCACCCTACCGTAACGCGGCACCCCTCTACTCCGAAGCCTGTAGTCCCCGAGTCGGCACGTGACGTCAGTGCCTCTCATACGACGTCTCTCTCAAGGGCATCAACGGCGGTCTCAAGAACACCAACCACTAGGCCAATGCGCGACTAAATGGGCGGCCACTTCCTCCGGGGGGCCCCGCGGCATCGGCGAGCACCGTACACATGGGTGATGAGACAAACAGAGGGACCATCCATCATGTTGCGATGGATCCTCCGCCCGTCCCTTCCGCGGCGTCGAGGAGGACCTTGTAACGGCTGTCCGGTCTCGCCAAGAGCTCCTCATGCGACCCTTCCTCCGCGATCGTGCCCGCGTGCACCACGCAAATCTTGTCCGCTTTCCTGTGTAGACAAATTTGAGCACGAGGGTCAGGAACAACAACAATCTGTGCCACCAGCAGCAGGCATACAACAGCTAAATAGCAGCCCGAAAAGTATGACCACCCACTCCGTTTCTCACCCAGCGTTTCAGCGGCGTCATGGGACGAAAAGAATTGTGGCTGTGCATTGGAATGGATTACAAAAGCACGGACGATTACAGACAGGCGAAACTGTCCACCACACGCCCTGACAACCGCGGAGTGGTGTGGCACGCAGGCCAATGTGGTTTCTCACCCGCCCCATCTACTTGCAATCACCCCACACATCCCGCTGATGCAATGTCGTCCTCTCGTGCACTTCCAACAAGACAAACAGCACCCCCCCCCTTTTATATGCCTCAAACCTCACGTCCCCAGTGCGCAACCTACTGAGTGGGAGGGGGGATCGCAGAAAGGAAATATACACCCTATCCCGACGGCGAGAGAGCGATAAATGCAGGAGTGGTCTCTCGTGGGTGCATCCTGCTCACCGGATCGTTGAGAGGCGATGTGCGATGACGATGGTAGTCCTCTGTCTCATGTCCACCAGCTGGTTGAGGGCTTCCTGCACGAGCCTCTCGGAGTCCATGTCTAGCGCCGAGGTGGCCTCGTCCAGCAGGAGGATCGCCGGGTCCTGGGGGTTGCGTGCAAGTTTTCGAAGCGGGCATGGGGCGTTAACAATGTAACGTACTATACTACGTAATTTGGATACTGCACGAAATAGTCTGTGAACGCGCATGAAATATGGAAATACGTTTCAACAGCGCCAGCACCGATGGATCCCAGTTTATTGCCCAGAGCTGTATCTCGTGTTTCTTCTATTATCGTGGTTGTGATAATTGTTCTGGGCCCCTTTTACCTCTTCCCTCATTTTTCCTTTTTTATCATTTTTTCCAAGTGCGTAGCCTTTTTGTGGCATATTGGTTGGGCTGTGACCACAGAAGGCGTTTGCGTCAGTTGGGCCGACACGAGTCTTAGAAGGTACCGAGCAGGGACCGGAGCTGTTCTTGATGCGAAAACCAACAAAAACTTTCGGGTGCCTCCGTGCTGCCGGTCAGGCGGAAGAAAGGTCGGGGTCCAGCATAGCATCGACTCATGAGAGTCTACGCCTGAACTCTTCACTACCACAGCTACCATACAAACCATTGTTGTTGTCCTTCTGTAGGATAGCGCGGGTAAAGTGACAGGCCAACCCACCCGCGCTTAAGCGGGCACCCGTCCTGTTCAAAGAATAGAGTATATTCTGTAGAGTACATTCTATCTGTATCAATATTTTTAACTGTATATAGTCTGGAGGACTCACGACTGCTGTGCTTGATCCAAAGCTAGGGGTGGTACGTGCGTGAAACCAGCTAGAGTCGGTTGTTTCTTGTTTTTGGGTGTTGCTCCAACACCAAGGTGGTCTGGTCCAGCAAAAACGTACCGTTGTCTAGAAAAACTTCCCGGGTTTTTTGGCTAATCAAGAATAATCGACAACAAATGCCATTCATTGCACTGGAGCACCGTCATCGCTTCTTTTCGTTTCCCGACGACTGCCACAAGCTACCCCCCCCCCCAAGAACCTGTTCGGGGGTTCAAGACGAAAGTCAAGGAGATGCTAGAAAGTAGGGAGGAGGCAACCCTTCCGAAGAAGGTGCGAAGCGAAGACCACTTGGAGATATACGGGAAGTAGAAAGAAGGGATAGGGATGAAGACGTACTTGGACCGCCCCATGGACTACGCGAAAAAGCTGAAATTGCAATTTCCAGTAAGCGATCTGGACTTGCCAGAACGGAGGAAGAGGTATACCAGCCGTAGGAGAGAGGAAGAGGAGGATAGACACACATGTCCATGTGGCAAATCGGAGGAGAGTAGACCCCACATAGGAGGGGAGTGTGAGTTGTACAGGAAGGAAAGAGAGGATCTCGAGGAGGAAATGAGACAGAGAGGTTGTGACATGGACAAGTTTGGTAAATTAGACAACAGCGAAAAAACGGTCGCGATAATTGGGGATAGATGGTGGGCACAAGAGGCCCTAGAGGACGGGGATAAGATGTGCAAGAAATTTTTTATGTAGTTTGTGGCAGAAACGTCAAGAGCTCCCAAATGTTGGTGGTGTCTCTAGTAGGGGTAGGAACGGTGCTCCGTCTCGAAAGGGACGCGTGGTCAATGGTCAAATGACTAAGGCAAACAACAAATGAGTACGCCCCCCCCCCCCCCAAGAACCTGCGGGACAACTAGCTGATGATATAAGAAATAGCGAGACTGAACCCCCTTTGAAGCGCGAGCGACGATCGCCCTTGCGTCCACCGGATGCAACAGGTACGACCGAGATCGAACACATCCAACAAGCAAAAAACAGCAGAGGCTACATACGGTACATCCATGTCGCCGGCTGCCCGAAGAGCTAAAGCAGCTCACCTTGAGGATGGCGCGCGCGATGGCGATGCGCTGCTTCTGCCCCCCGGAGAGCTGCACCCCCTTCTCGCCCACCTCGGTGTCGTAGCCGTCGGGGAAGGAGCACACAAAGTCGTGCGCATTGGCCTTCCGAGCGGCCTCTTCCACCTGTTACGGGGGGGGGGGGGCACCGTGAATGCACGCGAGCCGTTGATCGTGGATTGTAAGAGCGGTTTTCCACCGGAGCCGCCAAGCGATCCCTGCTACCGAAGTCGCTCCTCGGTTGAGAGAGTAGCAACGCGGACAAGTGCAAACGAAAGATTGAAACCCCGCTAGTAGCGCGCGTGCATCCATGCTATAACAGCGGAGGATGCCAAATGTGCGGTTCAATCCTGTGCAAGATCTTCCTCGGAAATCGCACCCTCTGCGATCAATCATGCTACACCCGTCGAAGATAGATGATGCAGCTGCAAAGCTACGCAGCTCACCTCTTCCCGCGTGGCACCCTCACAGCCGTAGGCGATGTTGTCGGCGATGGAAGTCGCGAACAATACGGGTTCCTGTCGCAACGAATCGGGGGGGGGGGGGAGGGGGGGGGGGGG